AGGCACTCAAACTGGTCGGGAAGTCAAGGTCGGAGAAAGAAGCAAGGTCACAGGATTAGCCAGGGTCATGAACAGGCAGACAGCTAGGTACCAAATCATATGCAGAGCCGAAGCCAGGAACAAGCCGGGTCAGAAACTGGCGACAACTCAAGAGCAGAATCCGAAAACAGGTCAGGAACAAGCCGGGTCAGATACTGGCGACAAGGCAAGAGCAGAATTCGAAAACAGGTCAGGAACAAGTCGGTGCAGTAACAAGGGAACACACTGGAAGAACACAGGGCACACAGGCAACAGCTGAAGACCAGTCAGCACTGACAGTGAACAAGAGCATCCCTTAAATAGCTCGTCTGGTACCAGAAACTGTGGGCACGATCCCGCGTGCGTGCATCCATGTGCATGCATTCTTGCATGCATGCGTGAGGCTATCCTCATTTTTATTAGTGATGCGCCTGTGATAATTTATATGAGCGATGATGTGTGCATGTGCATATCTATGCGCCAGTCGCTGTACAGGAATTCCCTTACAATGTCTCACTGGAATTCCCAGACAGGTCCATTGTTGTTGGGGGATCTTCTGTTGCTGATGTGGGATCTATTGTTGGGGGGATCTTCTGTTGCTGGGGTAGTCTAATTCCATACAAATGATTTAGCACCACAAAATGATACTTGGTTCTGTATTCTCTAAAAGGGGCGGGACAGGGAGATGGCTAGGGGGTGGAACCAAGGGAAGTTGCTCAGAGGAGGGTATAGGGGGCGGAGACAAGGGGGACTCAGAGAGGGGGAGTTCCTGTACCTGATCTCTGAGAAAAAAAATCCCTGCATACCATACTGTGGAACACACCTGCAAGATGTCCATCTCATTACATAGAACATTAAATTATTATTAGAAGGATTTGATTTAAATTTGTAAACCTGCATCAGAAGACTCTGGTCTGCAAGAGTCGCTATTCAGTAACTGAACCACAGCACAGTCTCCTGTGTGGACATATGTTTTCTAAGCCCCATCTGGCAGCTTAAACAGAGCTAAACTCACTTTAACAAAATATTTTGGCAGATGAGGGTTGCAAAGACTCTATAGGGACCCTGCCTTCATTTGTACAGACATTTCATAAAAGTCAGAGTTGTACAGCCGATAGCGAGAACAGTGCGTGTTTCCATTACAACACGTGGTAGCAGCTATTGTGTGAGTGTGCACGCTACCGGCAGAGTTAACAGACCCCAGTGGGGGATTGGTGTCCCATGAAAATCTCTGTAAGGGTGAGGCTGAGAGGGTCATTGTCACAGCAGCTGGTTACCCCAATTTATAACAACTAAATGAATCCATTTAGTAATTGCTATACATTAGATTTGGACTGAGTGCTGACAAATCATTTTGTTGGGAATTGCATACCTTCTTTCCTCTACATTGCTTTGAGAACCTGAGAAAAGTATTTTAGTTCTCCTGTGATATTTTAAGACTTCCAGAAAGTGAGGGGTGGCAACAATACATTCTACTGTGAGAGCCAGTGTTAATGATAGGGAAGATAAATATATTTCAAAGACCAAAATGATCAAAAAATCTGCAGAAAGTTTGTTCTTGCTATCATGCCATGTTTGAATAAAAATAAACACACCTTCTAATTGCTTTCCTTGACCTTCTTTCCTAAAGTATATTCACTTGCCCTCCAAAAGGTTTTACTCCCTTTCAGACCAGGCCATTTTTTGCTATGCTAATTTAACAGGCAATTGCAAGGTCATGCAAAGCTGTACCCACACAAACGTTATATAATTTTTTTCATACAAATAGAGCTTTCTTTTGGTGGTATTTGATCACCTCTGGATTTTTATTTTTAAATATATAAATGAAAAACAAATTTGAAAAAAGAAAAAAAAAAAAGTTTAGTTTCTGCTATAAAACATACCACATAAAAAAAAAACAAAAAAAAAAACTGTTAATAATTTTTGGCCGAAATGTATTCTGCTACATGTCTTTGGTAGAAAAACAAAATCCCAATAAGTGGATATTGATTGGTATGTGTGAAAGTTATAGCACCTACAAACTATGGGATATATACTGGAATTTGTTTTTATTTATTTATGGTGTGAGCATTAGTGGTGGGCCAAACGCCCCCGTTTGGTTCGCAGACAAACATTCGAACCTAATGAAAGTTCAACCGCAAAGTTTGAACAGGGACAATTCACTAAGTGATATCTTACCGCATCCGAGTATGCAGATATTGCACAACTACTAAAATACCACATGAGATATATTATTAAGTCATGAAGAATTTTAGTAATGAAAAGATTCTTTAATGTAAAAAGCAATTAAAAAAATAAATAAATAAAAAAAAAAACGGCATGCCCCCCTCCCCAATCCATGCCAAGCCTTTTTGGGTCCGGTATGGATTTTGAGGGGAACCCCCATACCAAAATTTAAAAAAAAAAATGGAGTGGGGGCCCTCTAAAATCCATACCAGACCAGGAAAGGGGGGGGGGGGATGAGTGAGTGCCCCTCCCTCCTGAACTATACCAGCCTACAAGCCCTCAACATGGAGTGGTGGTTTAGGGCAGGGGGGCTCCCCCCCAAAACACCTTGTCCCCATGTTGATGGGAACACGGACCTCTTCCCCACTACCGTGGCTGATGGTTGTGGGGGTCTGCGGGCTGGAGGCTTGTCGGAATCTGGAAGTCCCCTTTAACAAGGGGGCCCCCAGATCCTTCCGCCCATGTGAATGAGTATGGGGTACATGGTACCACTACTGTCAGGACCCAGTGTATTGTGGGGCTCGTTGGGTGAACGGCCTATGTTTGAGTCGAACTTATGTTTGACTTGAACATCAAGCCCAACTCTAGTCAGCATTGTGAAGTACCATTGTAACATTTTTTCATTTTTTGCCTTCCACATTTTCATGGTTACGGTTCCCATACAAATGTATATATTCTTTACCGTTATCCCCTAAGGAGCTGCTGGTTTTAAGATGTTTTCTGTCCTTTGAAGGGTGACGCACCTTGGTTGCATGAAACTCACTGACATACCTTAAAGTTTTCCAATGTTTTATTGGGCTACACCACCTTGCTGATAATACAGACAATAAGAAAAATAGGCAAAAACAGTGGTAAGAGAGAAGAGCCATTCTGAGAACCACCATTAAGACAAATAGGTTTGGTTCTAGATGGATATGAGGCTAACTGATTTCAAAGGCATAGTATATGTCTGAATAGTATCAAACATCAACACTCACAGTTCTCACAGTTCATCATTCCGGTCGCCTTCTTCGGGTGGAGCAACAGGGGCACTTACAGACTCAGTCTCTCAATTCAGAGTACCCTGTTGAACATACTGTAGTTCTACTTGGTAGTGCAATGCAGTAGCTACACAGTCCTGGGGAAGCTGGGACTTGTAGTCTCTCCTACACCAGGAATCAGTAAAGTAGTCACTAAAAACCTGTGTCCACATTGGCACCTAGGAATCGGTAGCCAGTAACAGGTGCCGCAGCTTTCAGTCTCACACACATCTGTTCCCCTCTGTATTTCTCTACACGTGTCTCTTGGACATTCCCCCTCTGGCCAATAACTATCAATCCCCATCCATTCGGGCTAACCCAACACAGTCACCCCAGGATTGAAAACACACTATAGCTAAGCATTGATCATGGTCTTTTTCAGGATGGCCTCTGCCACTTGGTCTTCAGCAAGCTTTGTATTATAGATACCTTTACTTAACTTGGTTGATACCTCAAACAAGAAGTAATACAATTCAACATGGTGGAACATTTTGCAACAGCTAGCAGTAGCTGTCCTGGCTACACTTGTATGTCACACTGTGTAGTTAGCACCTTTGCTGAGTGACTGCAAGTAAATAGGTTATGATGACCCACCTAATATGGAGTAGGTCCCCCTTTTGCCACCAAAACAGCCATGACCCATTGCAGCATGGATGGCACAAGACCTCTAAAGGTATGCTGTGGTACCAAGCCATCAGTAGCAGATGCTTTAAATCTTGTAGGTTGTGAGGTGAGGTCTCCATAGATCTAATGTGTTTTTCCAGCACGTCCCACATATTCTCAATGGATTGGGAGCTGGAGAGTGTGGAGGCCAAGTCAACACCTTAAAGTCGTCATGTTCCTCAAACCATTCTTGAACAATTTTTGCAGTGTGGGGAGGGGGTGCATTATCTTGCTGAAAGAGGCCACTGCCATGAAGGAATACTGTTCCCATGAAATGGTGTACTTTGTCAACAACAATGTTTAGGTAGGTGGTACATGTCAAAGTAACATCCACATAAATGGCAGGACCCTAGGTTTCCCAGGAGAACATTGCCCCGAGCATCACACTGCCTCTGCTGGCTTGCCTTCCATCCATACTGCATCATGGTGCCATCTCTTCCTCAGGTAAGTGACACACACACACCTGGCCATCCACATGATGGAAAAGAAAACATGGTTCATCAGACAAAACTACCTTTTTACATTGCTCTGTGGTTCAGTTCTGATGTCCTATCAGGGTGCTTTTGGCTGTGGACATGGGTCAGCATGGGCACATTGACTGGTCTGCAGCTCTACATCCCTGTACATAGCAAACTGCAATGCCCATTTTATTTGCTTTCCACACATCAACTTTATGGAGAACATGTTCACTTGTTACCTAATATATCCCACCAACTTTCAGACCCAATTGTAACAAAATAATCAGTGTTATTCACTTAACCTGTCGGCGATCTTAATGTTATGGCTGATCAGTGCATATGCAGTATATTATATCTGAATGTTTGTAGATACAACTGTTGTCATCTGTTGCTGGGATACAATAAATGCTACACTCCCTGGAAAAGAACTGAGGCTGCCTTGAAATTGCTTGAAGAGGTTGCACTTTACACCGGCATACTTTTCCCATTATAATTATATATATTATTTCTAACTAATTGACACACACAGTGTAGATAAAATAAACATGCATATATATTTATATACTGTAATATCCAAATCATTGGATTCCAATCACCTGCATGACAGGTGTACAAAATGAAGCACCTAGGCATGCAGAGTGCTTCTACAAACATTTGTGAAAGAGTGAGTCTCTCTCAGGAGCTCAGTGAATTCAAGCGTGGTACCGTGATAGGTTGCCATCTGTGCAATTACCTTGCTACTAAATATTCCACTGTCAGCTGTTAGTGGTATTATAACAAAGTGGAAGCAACTGGGAGCAACAGCAACTCAGCCACGAAGTGGTAGGCCATGTAAAATGACAGAGCGGGGTCAGCACATGCTGAAGCAAAGTGTCAGAAGTCGCCAACTGTCTGCAGAGTCAATAGCTAAAGACCTCCAAATTTCATGTAGTTTTCAGATTAGCACAACAGTGCGTAGAGAGGTTCATGAAATGGGTTTCCATGGCCAAGCAGCTGCATCCAAGCCTTACATCACCAAGTGCAATGCAAAGCGTTAGATGCAGTGGTGTAAAGCACGCCACCACTGGACTCTGGAGTACCACTGAGACGTGTTCTCTAGAGTGACGAATCACACTTCTCTGTGTGGCAATCTGATGAACTTGTCTGGGTTTGGTGGTTGCCAGGAGAACGGTACTTGCCTGACTGCATTGTGCCAAGTGTAAAGTTTGGAGGGGGGATTATGGTGTGGGGTTGTTTTTCAGGGTTTGGGCTTGGCCCCTTAGTTCCAGTGAAGGGAACTCTTAAGGTATCAGCATAACAAGACATTTTGGACAATTTCATGCTCCCAACTTTGTAGGACCAGTTTGGAGATGGCCCCTTCCTGTTCCAACATGACTGTGCACCAGTGCACAAAGTAAGGTCCATAAAGACATGGATGAGCGAGTTTGGGGTGGAGGAACTTGACTGGCCTGCACAGAGTCCTGACCTCAACCCATTAGAACACCTTTCATCTGACATCAGTGCCTGACCTCACAAAGGCGCTTCTGGAAGAATGGTCAAACATTCCCATAGATACACTGCTAAACCTTGTGGACAGCCTTCCCAGAAGAGTTGACGCTGTTATAGCTGCAAAGGGTGGGCCAACTCAATAATGAATCCTACGGACCAAGACTGGGATGCTACTAAAGTTCCTGTGTGTGTAAAGGCAGGCATCCCAATACTTTTGGCAATATAGTGTGTGTGTGTGTCTATATATATATATATATATATATATATATATATATATATTATATTCTAGAGTGTCCGTTTCTTAGTGCTGCCGCTAGGTGTCACTGTGTAACCATATGTAATGCAGTATATGCACATCTTCTGTAGCACGTGCTTGGATGGCTTATGATACAATGATATGATACCAATATCCTCTTACTATGATACATGTCCCTCTTAATAACTTTTCATACCTTCAAATGCATTATCATAAATACATTTTCATTCAGACTGATATGTTTTAATTTGTCCCTTCGGTTTTGTGATCTGGGTGAATGATGTTATAGGATATGGATGTCTACCTACAGAAATCTAAAAAGCCACACAACTCCTGCCAACTTCGAAAATTCAATCAAACCTGAACTGAATCTCTTACCAATATGTCAGACAGATAATCAAAATGGGAAATTAGGAAACTAAATATATTCTAAGAATGTCTGGGTTTCTTGTGTTTCAAAACTGTATGAATAAGTACTGAAAATGGATATGCCTATATATTATTAATACAGATGTGATGAAGCTGTATTTTAAGACATATGCTCTTAGACATTTTTTGCACGTTTGTGCTGTAAAATGTAACTGTAATCGGAGTAACATGGAATAGGAATAGTAATATTGAACACAGTGCAAGAGGAATCTAACACTTGTGACAGATGCAGTTTTGGCATACACTGACTGTCCAAGGTGAAAAAATGATTACATAGCCCCTTGAAGCAATAATGTTTATGTATTAGCACCACTCCTAACTAAGTACAGAAACGGTGCTTATGTAGACTCTGTGTTCTGCGGGGTTTTTGTTATTACTGTAGAGCTATTTGTAATGATCATCCATAGTTATGCATGCACATTGATCTTCAGCTATTTAACTACTACAATATGTCCATTTACTCATAGTATAGAATCAGAAACATCTGTCTCAGTTGTGCTTCTTTTCTCTGGATGCTCAAAATTAATGGGCAGGTAGATAGATATCAAAACAGAAAAAGGTTTCTTGCAGAAGGAGGGTGAGGTATGGATCAGGATATCCCCAACTACATTGGTTTGTAAACAATAAATTAGGCAATAATCTCTTCTAGAGCTTTCACTAAAAGTCTCTTTAGATGGTTGCCCATGAACTGTGAGCTCAGGCTCCCTAGTAGACTTGTGTATTTCGTTATGATTCATTTTTCGGACAAAAATGTCATTTTTGGAGATTCAGATATTCAGATATATAAATCTCCAAATGGGCACAGTAATGAATGTCAACATATAAAAAAAATTATAACGACATTAACAAATGCATTTGTTTCATTCGGGTGATGTCTCATGATGCGTTGGTAGTTCAGGGTCATGAGAAAATATTGATATTGTAGAATTTGTCTGATAATTCAGATTTGGATAATGAATGGATCCAAATTTCATTTCATTCCTTAATTTGGATGCACATGATGCCAGACAATATTGTCCAATCAGCTCATGCCACTTCTCTTGGTGATTTGGACGAGGGTCTAAAAATATCAAATCCTTCTGATTTGAATCCACCCTGACCAACAAAGATGCAAAACGAATGCCAAAGATATGAAACGATTTCCAAAAATGAATCCAGTAAACATAATAAATATGACAATACAAATTTTTTTCAATGAACAAATGATTCTGAAACTAAACAAATATTTCCAGCATGCACATGTCTACTCCCTGGCGATTGAGGTGCAAGCGGTATCTTAGTCTTCACTTCCAGGGAAGGACAGTATGGAAAGGTTCCAGCATATACCTTCCTACTGAACCATACCCTCTACACTATCATATGTGGGAGACTTGCCACTTGCTTCACCTAGGTCTTATGCTCTCTTTTTCCAAGAGGGAAGATTCCCCCCACTTTTTCATGGCCCAGTGCTCAGGAGAGATTGACCTTTAAGCTGATATCATCACACAGCAAGGGCTCAAGGGGGAAGAAGGAGAACAGCAAGTGGCTCAGATTTTTTTTGGTGAATTCTTTATTTTAGTAACAGCACATGGCAACAGTACAAAAATCAACGATAAACAAGACATTTTACATTTACAGAGACCCATACTTGTGATCAACATGTTATACGAGAAATAGACAATGGCATTCAACACATCATATCTTCCCTGAGTAGTGGGGCTCACAGGTTGCAATTCGTAAGCATAGAAGACACCTGTCTGCTTAGCTCAGATGTCTCAGGATAGAGGGAGTTTCTGAGTCCTGCGCTTCACCATGTAATTTTTCTTTTTTCCATCAATAAAAACAGCAGACAGGTAGAGAAATAGAGAAAGAGAAGTGGGAGAAAAAGGAGGGGGAGAAGAGAGATTAAAAAAAAATTGGGTGAGGGGGGAATCAGAAGAGAGGGAATCTATTCAACGCCATTCCCCCACAGGCCATCACCGAGCTGTGCGAGACCATAGAACAGGACAGTCTAGCAGACTACAGGAGCAGAGTGGCATAGTCCTCTGAGTAAATACATTCATGCCAATATAGTAGTGCCATTTCTTAAGGAATCTTGTGTGGTTTCTGTGACGATTATGCGCATAGAGGCATGGACGCCGTACCTGACAGCCATCTTGTTAGGTCGCAGCCAGGGGCGGACTGACAATTCATGGGGCCCCTGGGCAATAGGGGATCATGGGGCCCCCGTGTCCTTGCCCAAACTCAAAAAAGCCTATGAAAAAGGTACCAGGGGCATGTCATTGGGGCCCCCTACTGACCCCGGGCCCTCGGGCAGTGTCTGAGTTTCCAAATGGTCAGTCTGCCCCTGGTCGCAGCCATGTTGTCTCTCCTGTCCTCCCTCCTCCCTTTTGAATGGAATGTGAGGCTGTAAGTGAATGGAGGTCAAAAGGGCCTCTTATCCTAAATAAAACACAGCTAGATGAGCGCCATGGCTGTACATCACTAATTAGTCTGGTTCCAGGGGGTCTGCTTGAAAACCACTGTCCTCTGCCCGATCGTAAAACAATAACTCAGTCAGTCATGACCAGTTAGACCATTAGAGCTAGAGTATGCCATAAATCGTACATTCCACATGAGTCATTTTTCATACAAATTCATAAACTTCAGCAGGAACTGGGCACATTAATATGAAGTATATATTCGGATAGGTCATTTTAATATGAGTCACATGAGACCTTACATCACTATGTTAGCACCTACAAGAGAGTAGAAAGCAATTTCTTTTATTGGCAGGATTTGCTATGTTTGATATCTTTGCGTTTGGAATATAATTCTAAATATTAATCTGCCAGTTGCTAGGATGCTACCTGTACCTATTGAAGGTTATTGACCTCAGCATGAAATTGTAAGGGATTTGGTCATAACCTTGGTTACCGCCTAACACCCATCCCCAAACTGGATGATTAGCCATTTGTTTTCAGGAGACACCCCTTTGAGATGATAGAAAAATACTGACAGCTGGAGAAAAATGAGCTCTCCTTTAACATCGATCAGGAACCATCTAAGAGACTTGAGAGCCAAAGCAGCCTTTTGTTCGAACGATTGGACTCTGCTCAAACTAAGGACTTTTGCAAGTATTCTGCCTTCTGAACTTCTTTCTTTTATTTCTCTGTAGTTTTATTGCTCTCTTTATACCTTTGTTACATTTTTTTCTGTAAATATTTTAATTGCACCATTTTGACCTTTTTTAGTAATAAATCCTATTTTCTGAAAAGTGTTGAACTCTGTCTGTCTCTAAAGCTTTTAATGCAAACTAAAGAATCCCTGTCTCTGAAGAGTGCTACTGTATGTAATAATCCTCTAAATACATCTGTCTGTGGTGACAGTGTGTATTACAGACGCTTATGCTAATATCATAGTGTTACTGCTAAGATTTGTGAGTTTCCTCCTTCTCTGTAAAAAGGTGGTGGTGGCAGTGTGAAGGGTTAATTGCATAATTAACCTGACCCAGTAACAATTGCTCTCAGGCTGCTGGCACATATATTGTGGTCCCGCGAGCTGGAAAATCTTTGTGCAGGG